AGCTGAGACCTCCAGCTTCCCCTTTTTGGCAGGCCCATGGCCGGGGCAGCATTGTGTCAGGTGCTAGCTAAGTGACTCCTAAATTAACGAAGGACCCTCATGTTAAATAAATACACATACAGTGCAATACATCATCTCTTCCAGGCAGACAATTCAAGCCCCAGATTTTTAGAGTTACCCAGATGAATCTTAACCCAACCCTACCAGTCTTGCTTGCTGGAGGGAACAGTTGGGCTTTTTTAAATCCTCTAACACTAATGAAACCTTAAGGCCAGAAAACCCTTACTTTCTCACAGTGCAAAGTACAATTAAAGTGGACTTTGCACCATGAGGTTGTCAGACTTTGGACGGATGTGAACAAATAGCTCAACTAACTTGTTTCTTCCCCTCTGCCCCTAGCTCAGGGAAAAGCTCTCTGCTGCCTGTCGCCTCAAATATTAATAACCTTATCCAAGAAAATGAAATAAAGCACTGCCTTGTGTTTTCTTTTTCTTTTTTTTCTTTTTTTTTTTTCTGAATTCACACACTGAGTATCTGCATCCAGGTTTTGATGTCTCTTACTAGCCTGAGGAATATTTCCTTGTATTACTTTGGGGGCTGGCTTTTCCAAAAGAGAGATGAAACACTGTTCCTCTCCAAAGTCCAGCAGAGTTTTGGTGTTAACTTTCACAGGGCAAAGGCTCAGGCTGGGTGTGCAGGACTGTGCACGGGCTGGCAGAGGCAGCCTGCTCTGGGTTGCACGGGGCACGCACCCAAAACTCATCTTGAGCAAGTGAAATGCAGGAGGTGAGCTTATGAATTACCCTTTACAACAGAGCAGGGACACGTACACTGTCATCCAGTAAAAGCAAAAGTATTGCATACCTTGCAGACACCAGGACTGTTTGTTTCCATATCCTCCCAGTACATTCATAGTTTCCAGTGCTTTTTCTTTTCTGTACTAGTGCTACCTGAAAATCAGCATTTTAGTTCTTGGAGAATGACGCTGATTCTTTCCTGGGCCCTGGGTTTTCACTCTAATCTTGCTTGAAGATTTCAAATTAATTGCTCGGTCCTGCTTCAACTGGAATAAAAGCATCCCAAATTCATCAAGTAATACAGTATCTCCATAAAAACATGAACAGTCTTAAATTATTTGAAATCTGTCCTAAGATGTCTGAGATGCTTGTAACTTCAACCTGAACTTTGACTCATGAGTAACGTGGAGGATACCACCTTTGACACATATTTGATCTTCTCTCAGATTTTCTGTTTGATTTTGTCACTGAGTGGCTCCAAAAGTTGAGTTTAAGCACAAGATCCATTCCATTAATCTTCTGTTTAAAGGTATGTTAAAGCCAGTTAAGCTGGCTTTAAGAAAGACACAGAGGAAAGCTAGAAAATCAGCTAAGCAGGTCAACAACTTTAAAGTATTAAAGCTAATTTGATAGTAAATTTAGACTAGTTCACTGCTTTGAAAGTTGTATGTGATAAAACTGGGGCTGAGGTTTCCGCAGGTGCTGTCAATGTAGAACAGGGTGGGTGTACAGGTGGGTCCTGGCCATGTATTCAATGCTTCAGAAGTTGAAAAAACATTGCTCAGATGGCACATTTATTAGTGGAAGGTAAATCAGCCCCCTCCTGCATTTATACACACTTGGCTTTGCGATGAACTCACCAAACATATTTAATAGCACTAAGCAGGTGGTTAAATGTTTGCAAGTCTGGGCACTAAGGTCCTCCCGCCACCAACGTCTTACAGTATTTTTAAGCCATAACTAAATCTAAAAAAAGAGAAATAGTTTTAAAAAGCTTTAAAGAATCCCCCCCCCCCCCCAAAAAAAACCCAAACCAAAACCAAAAGCACAAACTAAAAGACCCAAAATAGACCTTTTTTCCCCCCTAGAAGTGACATTTTTCAACCATTTAATATTTCGGATGTTTCTAAAATGGTTTTAATTTGTTCCTTATGATCCTTTAAAAAAACACACTGGGAAAATGAGGTAAAGGAGGATAGGAAAAAACCTAGCAACATATTTTGCATGATTGGCAAAAAGCTAATCTGAACACAGTCATTTCTTTCATTTAGAAACTTACCTGTAATTGTTTAGGAAGCGCTACTGACATTTCACAATGAACACAAATGAAAAATAAAACCTATAAACATTTCAAAAACATGCTTACAAAAAAACCTATAGAGGCCTTTAAAATGTCAAGTATTTTTGCTAAACTCCTGGTAGGGGTTTTTTTTTGTTATTCACAGATGGAAAAAAATTCATAAGCTTAAACGTGCATCAGCATTGCAAATACTTGATTACTCCTTATGCTGTATTCATTAGAAATTTGTTTAGCTTTGCTTTAGACATTTCAAACAATAGTTTCCACTGCTTCCTTGACAGGAAGGAAGCTCCACAGGCTACTACAACAGCCAGAAAATCTTCCTGATCTTCAGCCAAAATTCCCTTTTCTTTACATCATCTCACTACTCCTGATTATACATGTCTTTGTATACAAAGTTCTCCCACAGTAAGAAACAGACTCTCTCAAAATGCTCGCCACCAGAAGTGTTAGGCTTCACTCATCTCCAGCCCGCTCTCTATATACCTGTCTACTGCCTTCCTCATGACTGTACCTTAAAATCTTCTATTCCTGGGCTTTTAAATGCCCTCCAGCTGTCGACAGCTTTCCGCTGACACAGGGCTAAGTGGGCTAGAGGTAGCTGAGATGCTGGAGCTGGTGTGAGTGGTGTAGTAAGTCCAGGGTACTGGAAATTCTATTGCTGTTCATGAAGAAAGGTCTGCAGACACCCCTAAAGAAGGGAATCCGGCAGTATGGCGTTTGCATCTTAAAGGTCGTGTCTTCTCCAAATGCAGATTGAATCAGTAGTATTCAGCTTGCCTTTCAAAAAACTGGAAAGTAAGAATCAAGTGGGGTTTTTTTCCTCTTTTATTCCCAAATCACTAAGTGTTGTCTAATTTGAACCTCAAATAACGCATGCCCTTTTAAAAATGCCATTCCTTGCTCACAAATGACCACACAAAATCAGAAGCAGGAACAAATGGGGGGGGCAGAAGCTACAATCTCATCCTCTCTTCTAACTTTGCAGACATATAATCCAAACTCATCCTGCACAAATAATAAAGTATAATAATATATACTATTATTATACAAGCACAATAAAGCATAAGTAATAAATCTGGGCACAAAAGTTGAAAATAGCGTAGCAAAGTTTTGCCACTTACCTAAAACATGCTTGAAAAATTTGGAATTATGAAAATTTCTCTTTAGAGAAAGAAACGGTTACACCTGTAATCTGCGAGCTGCATTTGCCAAGCAGCAAACATAGAAAAATAATCACATCCTACTGTAACTCATTTTGTCTGCAGCTTCCTTCTTTATACAGTGCAAAGGAACACAGTTGCTTGACTTCAAAAAAAAAAAAACAAAACCAAAAAAACCACAAACAAACCAAAAACATTGTAGTGGTGCCTTTGTTTTGAAGCACTTGTAGATATCTCCACTGGTAACTCTCCATCTTTGCTCCTGCTTCTCTGCTGGGCAATCAGCTGTGCAAAATCTCCATTTACTAATAATCTCTTCTGACCTTGCTGTAGGGGAACAAGTATCTTTCACAATAAATTAAGCAGCCTCCAGTGTGCTCATTTGCTGTGATTTTTTTTTTTTTTTTTTTTTGCCTTTGCTACTCTAAGGACAGAATGTAGATGTATTTACTTTTGAGGAGAAAATGGCAGAGACAGTTTGCTCTCTTCAGCGTGTGTTAAGTGCAAGCTTTCCCAGTATCTGAACAAAGAGCCTCTCCCTCTAAAGTGAAAGCTGATGATACACTTGCCCTCAAGTATATGCTTTCAAAGGCAAAATGACTAAATAGGGGGTTGCTTCTCTATTGCAAGGTTATGTAGTAGCACTTACTCATTAAAAAAAAAAGTTCCCTTTCTTTCCTAGTGCAGATGATCTGTATCGCATGCTTTATTAATAATGCTCTGAATCTGGTGGATATAAAGAATGGCAAGTGACATGCAAGGTCTACTTTAAGGCCACAATGAGAAAGGGTTTTGCTTTGGGTGAGGAGGTAGATGGTTGTTTTAGTTTCCTTTAGCCAGTACATTTAAATCTCAGCTGAGCTCATAGATCTCCCTTATTAAGGTGCTATCTCTGCAGAGTTTAAAAGCTTACTTTTGGTTTAAGGCAGCCTTAGCTGTTCACCTTTCCTGCACCATCCTTGTTGTACAATCAAACCCATAAAATATTTTCTTTCGTTGTCTGCTACACTAAGAAGCAAACAGAGCCTTCCTGTTACACGGTTCCTAACTAGAACTGAAGGAAAAAATTCACACATAAACCTAACAAAGTTGTTTCAAGTTTTCTTTTGGCTTCTGTACAAGAAACTGAGAATTTGATGACGAATTTCTCAAAACAACAGCGTAGACTGGTTTCCATAGCAAATTTTCCTTCTAAAATAACTTGGGTCAATTGCCTAAGCAACTAGGGTAATAATTAATGAGAAAAATCACAACAGTTTGGAAATTCCCATGATTTGATCTTGGATGAACATCTCCATAAGCAACAGAGGCTGAGCAGGACAGACTTGAACAAAATTGCTGCTCAGGACAGCAACTATCTTCTGTTACAGTATATGATTTTAGATTTGCACTCTGAAAAACACTTTTTAAAAATGGCCCGAGTTTGGACTCACAAGAAAGGTAAATGAAAGCTGAAAGTTATTAATACATCTGAAAAAATCAAGCCATTTTTCTGAAGATACACAAGGAGGAACTGCAGGTTTAACTGTCATTGTCCACGTCTGAATATTGTGGCTGACAAATGCAGAACAAAAAGATGTGACTAATGCAATGATTGCAAAGTACAACACATCATGACTTAGTGTAACATGTCCTTTCCATTGTACAAGCATATGTTTCAAAAGCAAGCATATGGTGCGCTTTTGTAAAAAGGAGTTGAGTTACTCATAAGCAACACGGTGTCTTCCCTTCCAGGGATCCAGCATGCCACAGTACAAGCTAACATACTTCAATCTGCGAGGACGAGCAGAAATCAGCCGCTACCTGTTTGCTTATTCAGGCAAGAAGTATGAAGACCACAGGATAGAGGCAGCAGACTGGCCCAAAATCAAACCAAGTAAGTAAAAAGGGATCTTATATCCAAAGCTCCGCTAGAAATGCTGTCAAAAAGCAAAGCAATTGAAGAGATACCTATATGTTTCATAAGCAGAAATACATTTAATTCCTGGCTTTAATTAAGTCTATGGGAATTTTATTGTCTAGACAGCCAAAATGTCATTCCTGATGCTCTCATGGAAATCCAGATCCAAAGCTTCAGACGATCTAAAAAGACTTACCTGCTATCATCCAGCTGGCCTTTTACTCCTTGTAAATTCAGTTTGGCTTTTGTCTGCCCAAAGCTAACCAAATGAATGCTAATCTTCTCAGTTTCTTTGGAGGATTTGGTCTCAAAGACCACACTGCAGCCTTCACCCTCATTTTAGAAAGCCAGATTGGAATTAAGTGTCAAGAAGGACACTCCTTTTCAACCAGAAAAGTCTTCAGAGAGGGAAAGCAATGACAGAAAACAAAAAGAAATCAGTTGATATAGCAAAAAGAAAACAAAAGGATCAAAAATGATGCTAAAAAATAATTGTTCCTAACAACCCCTCCCAGCCCTTCCAAGAGTATTCTGCAGGCTACTATACCCCATCCATTTCACGTTTTTTAGTTAGAGTAACCTCTTTCCAGCTATTAAAACTCTTTGTTATTTCTGTTTATTAAATGGGCCTTAGTTCAAATGAAACAGATCTTGAGTTTGGAGAGAGGGGATATGAAATCAGAGATAGCTGTGTCTTCATTTCATGGATTTGGCCCATGTTTTGCTACACGGGCTATGACTTTTCACATCCAGAATGAAGAATAATGCCTTTAGTCTGCGGAAAAGCCAAAACTCATGCACAAGGCAATTTCTATTAATCAAGTAATTTTTCTTGATTGGCTTTCACACCATTTAATAAACCCAGCCAACAGGCTACGAAATGCTTGTAGGGTGCAGTTAAATTTGTTTTTTCCCATAATGCTCTCCAAGTGGCAGCTGAAGCCCATCTGTGGTGCTCAAATCTAGAAAACACTAGCTAACAACCCACAGAGGAGTGTAAATGGGATATTTTCAGTTAGAGATTGTTGACTTCGGAAACCTTTTCTTTTTAAGAGCTTAAACCTGTTGGCCATGTGATATAGCTTATGTCTCTCCCACTGCAGTTCTCAAGGAAGCAGGGCAGAAGCTAAAGGTGAGACTGAGAATTCACAGGAATAGCGGAAAGCTCTTCATAGGCCTTCTTCATACTTAACTATGCACATATTTACATGTACACACACCCACTTATGTCCTGAAGCAAAGTTCAGAGAATATTAGCAAAGTATAATTCTATGTAGAGCTTTGCATACTAATTTTTAAGTGAGACAAAAAGACAAAGCATAAGTAGTGACTTAAAGGCTACAGAGGCATTCATATCCTAAGACAAGATGTTCTAATAGCAGACCTATCAATCAATATTGAAGATGTCCCCAACATCCAAGCCAGCACAAGAAACAATGCAGGAAAATCCTTCCTATGCTTTTCTTCAGTGCTCACATCATGAATTTCCCAGTGAAGCTTTATATGTACCGTACTTGTTCACTACAGTGTATGCCCAGCTGCAACACCATTACCACCCAAACACTGGGAGAAAAGGCATCCCAGAAATCCTAAACCATACAGTTTGTAATTGTATCTGCTGCATTAACAAATGTCGGTCAAGTCATTTAACCTTTGGATGTCTTTGTTTCTTTCTGTGATGCGAAAAGTTTGTTAGCAGGTTTACCAAGGGTTAATTAAGATTTTTCATTTTCTCTGCATAATGGCCTTTCATAGCAGCCTCTACTATGGAATTTAATCTAGGGATCAGTCAAAGCAGTTAAGAAGTTTAGTAAAATGTGGGAGCTGCTGCTTTCAGATATGTGAAATCATCTGTGCAAAATTTGTGCTGGCCTAGGAGTTCTTTGAATTTCAGGCTTCTGTAGACAGCGTGCTTCCAGTGAGTCAGTGGATGGGAAATGGAATGTATTGTGCTATTTGACCAGGAAAATGTACACCTACAAAGAAATGGTTGGATGCATGTCTGAAAGTGCTATTACATCTCATACCAGGATGCTAAACTTTTACTTTTGGAAAGCTCCCTGGATCCTAGCTCAAGCACCAATGTAATGATGGCATTTGCCACCAGCAGCATCTGCGTTGTAGACAATATGCAAATTAAGAGGTTCATCAACTAAAACAAGAGTAAAGGTATTTTTTTTTGTATGCATAACAACGTAATGCTGCTAAGGAAATTGCCTGGAGATCAACTAACTGATGACTACCTCCTCCTCCTCCTCCTTTGTGAAGCAATCATTACCCATGGTATTTCCAAAGTAATCTCCCACAGGCAAATCATTCAGCAAGACTCTAAATAAAAGGTAGCAACAAGGCTTTGCAGTAAACAGCCTTACAGGGCACAAGAAGACCAATAGCCACTGCTTCAGTCTGTCCTAAGGTACCTAAACCCCAACTTTGCAGGCCATGACTCAACACAAGAAATGGTTGCCTCCTAGTTAGGGAGTAGGTTGCATAGGGTTTGTGTGTCTTAACACTACAGCAATATTGCATACAGCAGAGATGCACCATTTGCCATAAGGAAAACAAACCACTTGCATTCTCTACTATCCTGACTTTTCAAAAAGTAACTCAGCTGCCTCCATGGAGGTGGGGATTGAAGAGGAAAAAGCACCAGCCCTCAGGAAAGTAGGTAGCAGAATCCTTGCCAAAAAGGTTCAAATATTGCTGTGTTCAGCAGTAAATATGAAATGAGGGGGTGTCTCCAACCAACTGAGAATACACAGGCATAGTTCACTCTGTTGAGACATCTCCTACACTACTGTCATTCATATTCTCTATTCAGATCTTTCTTATGAAGCTCAGGATTTTTTTTTTTTCCCCCCATTATGCTTGGACTGGGTCCACTTCAAAAAGAACAGAAATAAAGTAGCAGATGCTAGTCAGTCTCATCCTGATGAAAACCAAAGGGTGGTGTTTAGCAATGATAAGGGGAATTACAGCTGCGTTTCATGTAACAGCAGCTAATGTAATAGCAGTTTGGTACACCACTTCTTTTGCAGCCCTCAAAAATCATTAGAAATGGTTCAATTAATTAAACTAATTACATAATTATATATTGAAGTGAGATTAAGAAATACCACTCAAATTGCTATGCACACTTGCATATAGTATGTTTGCATTTACCCACTTGCCTATGAAAGATCTGAAACCAGTTTTGACTGCAGAGTCTGCAAGTACAAAATAATGTCCCTCTTTTTTAAAAACTTCAAGTATGGTGAAGTAAGATAAAGAAAAAAAAGACCTAGGGAAGAGGAAACTCTATTTTCTTAATAAGTTTGGACAAGGAGAGCCTCTTCGTGATTCTTGAACTACTAAGGGAACAAATCAAAGAAGCTAAGTTTCTCTAAGAGTACAAGGAGTCAGGTCTCTGCAGAGAGGATAGGTTTGCTTCATCAATTGTCATAAAATTAGATAAGGTTTTGCAACAAATACCACCCTCCCACCCAAATCATCATACCATATAAAACAGAAAATACTGTCATTATACTGAAGAACAGACTTACTTCTTAGTTCTGTAAAATTGAAGGGAAAATAGAAACTGTGTGCATTAAGATTAATGCATGCACAGAAAGACCATTTAGAAAGCAGACTTGCAGCTGCTGCAAGTTTAATTTTGGCCTGGACTGAAGAGTGTGATAGGTTTTGTTGTTTGTTTTGGCATTTTTCATGTGGCTCTCCCCAGCAAGCTGTTGTCTTACTTATTTGCCTGAAGGACCATTAATTCCTCGCTCCTAGAAATACTGTCTTCATTTTGTTTACACCCAAATGATGCTTTTTTTTTGTATGAGAGGGAGGCATAACATAACAAAAACCTCTATCATTTGGCCTATACACTCTGAAAATAAAATCTGTCATTTGGCTTACACACTCTGAAATTAAGATTTCTGTAACTCAACTGTTGGGGTTTTTTCCCTTCTATCACTAATCAGATCATCTTTGGTAAATTTTCTGTTGCTGATTTCAGGTGAGGATTGTAGTTTATAATATAAACAAATTTAAGCAAGCTAGTATGTAAGTATTAGTGTTGACTAGCTTTAGCGCAGAATTTTAAAAAACAGCTGAATATCAAGTAGCAGCTTTACATGACCCTTCACTCTTTATATAATCAATAAATTTTTAAATGAGTAAACAGATTTACATTTTACATTTCCTTTTGAACAGACTGTGACTTGACTGTACCACCATTGAAACCGTACTTAATTCAAGATCTATGCACCAGCACATAATAGACTCATTCAAGATCTGTATTACCACATAATAGGCTCCTCACAAAAAAAATGTCTTTGTACTGACATAAGTCATGATATAGCAGATAATCCATTGTAATGGTGCACAAAGTTACCATCCTCTTGAGATATCAGGCTAGCATGCAGTAACAGCTTTTGTTCTGTGGCTTATTCAGGGAATCTGAAGCAATGGCAATTATGCAGACTTTGTAGTCATTGCAAAGGACGCTTTCATTGCACTAATGGCTGTAAATGTCCCATAAACTGTTTAGGAGGGGTGGAATGTTGCTTGAAAGGTCCTCAGGAAACTTGACAGACTAATTATTGCACTGAAAAGACTTCCAACGTAACAGATAAATCTTGAGAGATACCTGACAGCAGGCAAGAGTTCTTCAAGGGAGCACTCATCCTGTTTCCTGAGTGACTTGCTGCTTTGTAGCTCTAGCTAAGATGTGTAAATAGCTATCTTTGGGTAAAAAGCAGAGCTTAGCAATCACTTCCAAGGAGAATCTGAGTTGTAATAACTACAGTGCTAAAGCTGGGCTGAGGTTAGATCAGAGCACCATCCTGGTCATCCTTTTCTAGAAGATATGGATTATGGATGCCTCCAGCTCCAGGCCAATTGCTTCCCAGGGGCCTTGCTCCTCTGCCAGCCTTACATAAAATAAATCTTTCACATGCTTCTTATTGGAAGATGCAAAGTATCTCATA